GTTAAATATCTGATGTGTAAAATTCTTAAATTAAATGGAGTTCCACAGAAAATTGAAATGATTCTCCAAGTATTGATAAGGTCTGTTTTCTCCATTAATTTTATCTTACCTTCACTCTAATTACTTTTATTTTTTATTCTTAGAAACAAACTCAGAGGCTGGAAAGAATCATTGGTCCACCTAATTTGTCTTCCTTTATGCTTACATATCTTAATTGTCTTTAGCGCCCCTTTATTCATTATAAAAAACATAATGTTGGAACAGTCAATAATTGTTTTGAAGAATTTCCTGATCCTGAAGTTTAGAAGCTTTCAGTGTTAGTATTCTTTTGAATTAAATTAGCATCCAACAACCAACTTGACTCAGTTCATTCACAAGTAACATTATACCATTCAGATACAAAAAAGGCAGACTTTTAACGCCAATTCTTTCACAGACTATTGTAAGCCTAACTGAAAATTATAACCCTGACATTTGACTGTATATTCCTTTTTATTAAATAAAAAAGTAATATTTACTTGAACGTCTGCTTCAGTGAAGGAACAGTAAACTGGCAGGCACCAACAAAAAGATGTCATACAGTTTCATTTGTTTACATTATAAAAAAGCCTAATTCTGTGCACTTTTAAGCAAGCCTACTTTTATCCAATAAGTCCTCCAGCAGAGGGAATTATTCTTCCCTGCTATGTAAGTAAACACTGTTCAGCCCAATATCTTTTGTTGAACTATAGTGTATCTTTTACAGGGCTATCCAATCATGATAATGAATTTAGCACTTCCTTTTGTAAGCTGTTCCATTTATTAAAAATGGAACAGCTTGTATTTTAATTTAAACTTCACACAATTGGGTCTTGTTATACCAGAACTGGGGTCTCATTATTCCAGGGATGGTTTCTCGAGTATCACATATACAAGTAATACCACCTCCTTACTCCTGCTCAGCATTCTCCCATTTATACATCCAAGAATAATAGTTTGTTTTGTCCCAGTATCACAATGGGATGTCATATTCCATTACTTATCTATCCTGGCCCCAAAATCCCTTTTAGAGTTGCTGCTTTTCAGAGTACAGTCCCTGACCTTGGAACTAACCAACTTCTTTGTTCCTAAATGTATGATTGTGGAGATGTAGTTCTGCTTTAACAATACGTAAGGATTGTATGCCTTCAGATGCTGTGATTAACCAAGGCAATAATTTGCCCTCCTGAAAGGTAAAATAGCTGATGTTTTGAAGAGACTATCAAGGCCACTCACAATGGACCAGTAGGGTTGTATTTTTCTTTGTGTATGGGCAATCAATCTCCTCCCATTATACCCCAGTTTCCTTTGGACAAAACCCAGCATGACATTCCTTCAACTGCAAGACAATTACACATCTTTCAGCTTGCACTATTGTGTGAAAGCTATAGTGCACTTATGATGACTAATAATAAAAACCAAAGCCTCTATACCCATCCACTAGTCTAGTGCTAGCATTGTGCACTACCCTCCTGAAAAGTTAGTTTGGAATAAAAGTTTGGCCCTTTATTTACTAAGCATGCTCTGAAGACAGCATGCTCAACATTTCTCTGCCTAATGCAGGTGCAGCATTGAAATGCTCAGAGTGGAACCATGTCCAATATTTTACAGATAATAGAATGATTACCAAGGCACAGTATCTTGAGGATTAGTGCAACTAATGTGGGTCAACATCAGTGTGAGTTATGAGTGCTCAGAAGAACTCAATCATCTCCAGCTATTGCATTTTTCCATTCTGGCTGCATCCTGGCTTCTTTCCAGAGCTGCTGAAGTGTAGATAGCTTTGGAACAGCAATGATTTCAAACCTGTTAGGACCAGATTCACAAGTGAGATTTAGCCCTTGTGCTGCTCAGGCAATACAAATGGGCTGAATTTTAGCAGCAAGTGGCCTATAGGAAATTCCCTTTGTATAGGGGGAAGTACTCACTGCTGTGAAGCTGGAGCTGGCCAGTTGCCTTCCCCATTAATGCTCCAGCACAGATGGATGGAGGGGAGCATTGCCTATCTCTGCTATATCTATCCTTTATTGATGCGAGCTCTCCATCCAAAAGTGGTCATGTGACCCTCCCCAGCAGTATGTTTCGGGTGCCCAGGGCAGCCAGCAGAGAGGTAAATCACTGTGGGGTGGGGGCAGGACTGGGGAAGACACTGCTAGTGGCTCCTACCCTGTGCTGGGCTCAGCTGCTGGAAGATGGGACTTCCTCTTCCCCTGCACGGCATCCAGGGCTGGGTCAGACCCACCCCCAGATTTCTCCTCTGGCTGTAGGAAGCTCTGCAAACTCCACCCCACCCCCAGCACTTTCTGCACCCATTGCTCCTCAGGGGGAGGGATCACTATACAGGGAGCTGCTCCCTCTTCCGTCCAGCTCCCGAGCATCCAGACCCCCTCATACCCAGACCCGCCTGCCAAGCCTCACCCTCACCCACACACCCAGAACCTCCCTGACATGCCCCACTCCCCCTGCACCTGGACCATCCCGATGAGCCACCTGCACCCAGATCCCTGCTCTACCGAGCCCCAACCAGCTGCACCTGGATCCCAACCCCACTGAACCCCACTCCCCCAGCATCTGGACCCCTCCACCCAGACCCCCCTGCTGAGCTCTATCCCCCCCGACACTCCCACCCTGCTGAGCATCAGCCACCTTCACTGGACTCCCCTTGCAGACTCCTATTACTGTTGCACCCAGAACCCCCCAACAAGCCCCTGTGCATCAAGATCCCCCCCCCACACCCAGATCCCCCGCTGAGTGGCCTGCACCCAGATTGCCCCACCCAGAACCCTCTCAACCCACACCCGGATCCCCCCACACTAAGCCCCTCCACATACACATCCTGCTGGGCTGAGCCTGCCTGCCCACACCTGGTACAGAGGGGCAGGGCTCTGGGGTGTTTCTGGAGCAGGCATGGTCTTTGTGCTGTGTCAGGGTTGGGTGCAGCCTTACCGCTGAGTCTGTGTCCTGGGCGGGAGGGGGAGCTGGACCGTGATCACCCACCTCTGTGCAGCCAATGGCCTGTGCTTCCCAGTGTCATGCTGGACCCTCCGCATTTATTTGACAAATAAAATTTCAGAATTTTAAAATATTATGCACAGAACTTTAAATTTTTTGGAACACACTCAGGAGTAAGGAGGGATAAGGAGTCAGGGCTGCACAGAGGTTTTAGGGGGTCTAGGCCAAAATCTGAAACTAAGATGACCCCCAACCCTCCTCCCCAACAATTTAACACCAAAGGAAAGCTGGGATAGATGGAGTGAGAATGAGCTTAGACTGCACTCAGCCCAAACCACAGGCTTGACTCCTGCCCAGGGCCATACGTGTAGTTTGATTTCTATATTTGGGTAGGCAGCTCCACTCAGGCCAATGGGGCTGCACGGGGGGCAAATTCTGCACCTGCCTGATGTTTGCAGTTGGGGGGGACAACACCTCCCTCCCCCTCAAACTATGCTGGGGGTGGACCTGGCTCCCCACTTTGGCTGTTGTGACTGGGCAAACAGGAGGGGTGGGTGGATGCAGCACCACTCAGGTTTGGAGGGCCTCTCTTGCGCCCCTAGCCCTGCAGCTGCCAAAGGCAGGTAAGTCACGCTCACCAGGAGCAAAAATGCAGAGCCCTAAAACCAAATAATTCTTTACATTCTCTGTTCCTGCTTCAACCTGAAGAAACTGTACAAGGCTATGTCTACACTAGGGACCTTACAGCAGCACAGCTGTACCCTCCCTACACTTGTGCCGCTCTAAGGTCTCCCATGTAGCTGCTCTTTGCCTGCAGGAGAGCATGTAGGTTACTTTAACAGGTGGCTGGGCTGCCATGGTCAACACAAAACATGCTTGGCTTTCAAGCAGACATGCCACACCCATGAAAAAATGCAGAAATTAGGCTTGTTTTTGGCTTAATTGGCTTGAGTTGCTTTTTAGCTTGTAGCTTGTTGCTTTTTTTTTTTTTATTAGTTCCCTGCAAGGGGGAGCAAGCAGGGGAGAGGGTCAAGGGTGCACTGCGGGCCCACCACAGTCCCAGATTGCACGCCGGGGGGATCTAGTCACATAGAGTGTTGGGGTTCTTAGGGATTGGCTTGTTTCGAAATGGGATTAGCTTGATTTTTGGTTTATTGTGAGTGTCGGGGTGCTTATTTACCACTGAAAGTTGGCAACTGTGCTTTAAGGCAAGCGCAGTCACGCTCAGGAGACAGTAGACAGCAAGAGCAGCAGCCCTAGATCTTGTACTGCCTGCAGTCCTTGTTGCATCTGTAACCGTCTGCCACCCCTGCTGCGATCTGTCTGGTTTACACTGTAAGCGCCGCAGGGCTGTGGCTTGCCAAGGCATTTGTAACGTGACGCACACCGGGCCTGCAGGAACAAACGCTGGGGGAATGGCGGCGGAGGCCGAGGGCGGGGAGCCAGCGGGGCTGCCGGGGCAGAGCATCCGCCCCACGCGCCTGCCCCTCCTGTCTCACACAGGCTGAGGCCACTGGCTTGCGGGGTGGCCCCGTTACCCCAGAGAAGCGCGGCTGCCCCTGCGGCTCCAGGAACGCCTGACCGAGGCGGGGATCAGCTCCCACACCGAGGTCGATTGGTGGGGCCCCGCAAGCCCGACTCGGCCGCTCCCCCCCGACAGCCAGGGAGAAACTCCCGGAAAGCGGCCGCTGACAAGCCAGGCTCCAGCAGCACAGCCCCCCCCGCCGCTGGGCCCGGGCTGCATTCCCCTGGCTAGCGGGACAAGCGCTGGCGTCGGTGCAGGAGGGCACGGCCAGGGGCTCCGACCTGAGTCGTGCCGTTCCCTCGGCTCTCCACCTCCCCCCGCCCCCAGCGGTTCGCTCACTTTGTGGGCGGGGCGCGCTCGGAAGCCGCTGGCAGCTGCCGCGTTCAGATCGGATTCGGGCTGAGCCCCGCCTCCTCGCTATGATTGGTCGTGGCGCCAGAGGCTCTTCCCTTGGCCCCCACCCCTCCAGATCTCCTGGGTGACAGGGACGCTGTTAGCGGGAGGGGCCGCGCTGCCCCCGGCCCGCGGAGTGGCAGCGCATGCGTACATGAAATATTGACTCGGGAGCCCCGGGCGAGAAGATGAAGGTAAAGTTCAAAAATGCCGTTATCGGGGCGGGGATGGGGCTCCCTCCAGCTGCCTGCGCTTCTCTGGCGTGGGGGCAACAGGCAGTTGTGGAGGCTGAGGGGCCTGGTGATTAGACAGCCCGGCCCGGGGCCTGCAGCGCTTGGACGCCCTACCCTTGCGGGGGCTGCAGCGCGTGGGAGGCAGAGCGGGGTGACCCGGGGCAGACGTGGGAGCGGGGCGGCCTCGTGGACACGCTGACGTGCCCTGCCCTGGAGGGCAGCGGTGACCCGAGGGGCGGGGGCTGCAGTAGAGCAGCGCGGGAGGGAGAGTAGCTGGGCGGGGTGAGCGGCAAAGGGGGCTGATGGGGGCTCGCTCCTCAGGGGGCAGCAGGGAATGGCGGCCCGCTCTGCTGTGTGGGACGTTGGGGAACGGCCTGGGAGCGCAAGAGGGGCGTTTCGGCCCCGGCCCCATGCGTCTCCCCCAGGAAGGGACGCTGCAGAGGAAGCTGCAAGAAACCCTGAAGTGGGCAGCGAGGGAATAACCTGCCCAAAGGCGGGGGATCTTCTTCCTGAACCCCAACTGTATAGGTCTAGCCTCTGCCCTGTAGCATGAGGGTATTTATCACTTCCAAACCTGGGGGGAGGGTTTTATGGTTGTCATAGGCGTGCGCAGCACGTTTCATTAGGGTGTGCACCCAGGGAGCCCCGCCCTAGCCCTCATCCACTCCCTCCTACTTCCCGTCCCCTGACTGCCCCCCTCAGAACCCTGAACCCCCTGCTCCTTGTCCCCTGACTGCCCCCTCCTGGGACCCCTGCCCCTAACTGCCCCCTAGGACCCCACCCCCTACCTAAGCCTCCCTGCTCCTTGTCCCCTGGCTGCCCCCCTAGGACCCTACCTGTCCCCTGACTGCCCCGACCCTTATCCACACCTCCGCCCCCGGACAGACCCCTGGGACTCCCACGCCTATCCAACCGCTCACTGCCCCCTGACAGGACCCCCCAGAACTCCCGACTTATCCAACCCCCCCGCCAGCTCCTTGTCCCCTGACCACCCCCTCCAGAGACCCCCCCCCCTAACTCCCCCCCCGGGGACCCCCCCCCCTACCCAACCCCCCCTGCTCCCTGTCCCCTGACTGCCCCCACCCCTTATCCAACCCCCCCGGCCCCAGATCCCTTACCATGAGGCTCCTAGCAGCATGTTTTGCTCCGCGCAGAGCCAGACACGCTGCCCCGCAGGAGCGGGCAGCCCCGCCCCCCAGAGCGGCGGCATGGCTCCAGGGGAGGGGCCAGCGGCTTGCTGTGCTCGGCCGGGCGCTCCGGCCCTGGAGCGTGGATCCTGCGGCTTGCCGCACCAGGAGGGTGGGGCCATTTGCCCACCCCTGCATTAGGGTGTGCGTGGGCACACCCCGTGCGCACACCTATCATGGTTGGTTTTAGTCTTATCCAGTATAACTGGATGCTCTCAATAAATGCCCAGTCCTGCTAAGCGCTGGGACCCAGTGACATCCTGTGGCAATGAATTCCACAGACTAATTTGCTGACTCAATTTCAGTGAAGGTTTGCGTGTTGCTGTGTTGAGAAAGGGCTAATAGGGGACGCCAAATCTCCTGAATATATTCTAGATTGTGTATTGGTTGATTTAAAGTTGGCTGCTCGCATGACCGAGGGCTGAAAGATCACGAAGGCCTGGAATTTGCCCACAACCCCACTAATATTTTTCCCTTACTAGTTTTTTAAAATGTGGCTTATTTAATTAACCTTTCATGTCAGTGTTTGTTCTAGCAGCAGAATATATGATATATAAACATCAGCTGTGCCGTAGAGCTTGTTTTTAATTTTTTTAAACTAGAATTCAAATGTAGCGTATAGATTGCATAACCTTATTGGTAAGGCTATTGTGGATTGCCACGGGCACGCAGGGGCGAAAGAAAATGCAGGCCTGTTATTTACCAGGCTGCACGTGGCAATAGACTATATTGGTAAGGGATGCAAGGAGAATATGGGTCACGATGCAAACTGCAGACACACACACACACACAACTAAAATTAATCAATTTAAAGTTTTATTGGGGATAATTACAAGGGGTAAGGGAGCAGCGTTTGATTAGCTAATAGAGTTAATGAAACTTAAAACACACAATGACTAAAATATCTACTAACAATATTTATAAACAAAGATGCAGCAATTAGTAATAACTGATACTTACAAATACAAACCAACGCATAACGACCGGCAAACGTAGAAACTCTGTTTGAAACACGTGAGCTGAGAGAGAGGCTTCGAGGTGATCAGGCTCGGTTACGGGTGTACACAGGATACACAGGATTTGTTTTTCTTTCTCCTCTCCCTGCCTGCACATGGCAGGCAGCCCATAAAGTACCAACTATGACATCATAGAAGTGTCATAGGGGACGGGGCCCAAAACCTGTTTGTGTTCGTTTCTGATTGGCACAAGCAAAGTTTACACCAAGTAGGGGAGCAGGTGCCTCAAAGTCTGGCTTCGCCCCCAAAAGGTGAGGAAATGCATATTGCTTTAGAATGCGTGCAACACTGAATGACAAAAGAAGAGGCCAGGGCAATACCGGTATGGGCAAGTTTTACAGGATGCAGACAGGAACTCATCTCAACAGCTATGTTTTAGTCTCGGGTATTTTTAGTAAAAGTCATGGACAGATCATGGGCAGTAAATAAAAATTCATGGCCTGTGACCTGTCCGTGACTTGTAACCCCTGACTAAATCTTGGGGAGGGGAGTGGGTGCTCTGGGGGGGGGGAAAGGGTTGGCAGGGCTGGCAGGCTCCCTATCCAGCTCTGACCGGCATGTCCCTGCAGCTCCTAGGGGCAGGGAATGCCACGGGGCTCCGCATGCTGCCCCTGCCACGAGTTCCAACTCCGTAGCTCCCATTGGCTGGGAACCGCAGCCAGTGGGAGCTGCAGGGTCGTCATCTGCGGGCACGGGCAGTGCGTGGAGCCACCTGGTTCCTCCATCTAGGAGCTGCAGGGACATGCCAGCCGCTTCCAGGGAGTGCCCCCTCCCCCCCGAGGTAAGCGCTGCCCCCAGCCCTGAGGCCCCTCCCACACCCAAACTGCCCCAGCAGCGGCCAGTGATCTGCTCAGGCAGCCCCGGAGCCAGCTGCACCGGCCACTGCAGAAGTCACGGAAAGTCATGGAATCTGTGACTTCCCTGAAACTTCATGAGAGACACACAACTTTACTTATTGGTTATCTTAAAACAAGTCTGGTCTGTCTTATCTAGATACTTTAGATACTTGGTCTCCATCACTAGAGTATCTGAGCACCTCACAATCTCTAGTGTATCTATTCTCTCAACAGCCCCGTGAAGTAGGTTATACTGTTATCTTCATTTTACAGATGGAAAATTGAGGCACAGAGAGGCTTAGGGCATGTCTACACTTGCAAAGTTACAGCGCCGGCAGTTACAGTGTCGGTCAGAAGCACAAAAGGAAAACCGGTGTTCACACTGACAGCTGCCTGCGCAAAAGTGTGTTCGCACTTGCGGCATTTGCAGCACTATTCAGAGTGGTGCGCTCTGGGCAGCTATCCCACAGAGCACCTCTTTCTCTTTTGTTCCTAAGACTTGTAGGAAGGCGGAGGAGGTCGCGGGGCATCCTGGGTCCAGTCTCAATGCTCCATGATTCATTGCTTCGCATCCTATCAGTCCCTGTGCTTCTGTCCGCATTTGGTGCCATCTTTCAATGGTTTGCGTACTGCGTGCCCTGCCTCTTTCGGGCTGCAGGAATGGATCCCGAACTGCTGACCAGTATGCTGCTCGCTCTGACAACATGTCACGAGTGGCAGTGGAGTTATTCCTTAAACTACAAAGGCAAGAGGAGTGCGACATTGATCTCACCACGCGTAGTAGCTACGACACGAGATTACTTGTGGCAGTCACGGAGGTGCTGATCACAATGGAACGCCACTTTTGGGCTCGGGAAACAAGCACTGAGTAATGGGATCACATCATGATGCATGTCAGGGATGACAAGCAATGGCTGCAGAACTTTTGCATGAGGAAAGCCACATTCATGGGACTGTGTGATGAGCTCGCCCCAGCCCTGCGACGCAAGGACACGAGAATGAGAGCTGCCCTGTCACTGGAGAAGCGTGTGGCGATTGCACTGTGGAAGCTGGCTACTTCAGACTGCTACCGATCGGTTGCTAACCAGTTCGGAGTGGGAAAGTCGACTGTTGGAGTCATGTTGATGGAAATGTGCAGGGCCATTAATCGCATCCTGCTCCAAAAGACCATGACTCTGGGCAACATGCGTGACATTGTGGATGGCTTTGCACAAATGGGCTTCCCTAACTGCAGAGGGACGATAGGTGGCACGCACATTCCAATTCTGGCACCCGACCACCTAGCCACAGAGTACATTAATCGGAAAGGGTATTTCTCAATGGTTCTCCAGGCGCTTGTGGATCACTATGGGCATTTCACAGACATTAACGCAGGCTGGTCCGGAAAGGTCCATGACACACACATCTTTCGCAACACTGGCCTGTTCAAGAAGCTGCAAGCAGGGACTTTCTTCACGGACCAGAAGATCGCCGTAGGGGAAGTCGAAATGCCTATTGTGATCCTTGGAGACCCTGCCTACCTCTTAATGCAGTAGCTTATGAAGCCATACATGGGGCAACTTGGCAGCAGCAAGGAGTGGTTCAACAACAGGCTGAGCAAGTGCAGAATGACTGATGAGTGTGCATTTGGCCGTTTAAAAGCCCGCTGGCGATGCCTGTATGGGAAGCTGGACATGGCCGATGACCATATTTCTATACTTATAGCCGTGTGCTGTACGCTCCATAATATTTGTGAAGGGTGAAAGCTTCACCCAGTGCTGGACAACAGAGGCTCAGCGCCTGTAAGTTGAGTTTGAGCGGCCAGAGACCAGGGCTATTAGAGGGGCACAGCGCAGGGCCATAAGGATCAGGGATGCCTTGAGGCAGCAATTTGAAGTTGAAAGCCACTAATATTTGTTGCTATGCTCGGGATTGCAGTACTT